ATGTGAAATAGGTGTGAAGGTATTCTGGGAATCTAACGTGACGTCCAGAACGCGTTTTTTTAGAGTGATCGACCGAAGGTTCGGTGGCTTTCGCCGTGCTAGGGAGTTCTTCGAAGACTGAAGTAGATTCAGTTACTTGTGAATTATCGGGTACGTTTAGCTCCAGGCTAATGGGGTTACCTTCCAAGTAAGCTGGTTTCAGACGGTCGATACTGACGGTGTCTTCGCGGCCTTTTTTGTCTAAAACGAAGAATTTATCAGTACGTTTAATCACTTTATATGGTCCGTCATATGGGGGTTCTAGAGGACGACGTACCGAGTCGCGACGAACATTTACATGTGAAGAAGTTTTTAAACAAGGGTGAACGAAAACATCAATGGACTGTGGTCGGAGGGGAGCAGGTTTAACTGAACGCATAGCGTTTGTAAGCCTGCTGACGTATGAGGAGTGATCTACCACTGGTGGGAAGCTCGAGGGAGAAACAAACTCACCTGGCAGTCGTAGTGTTGTGCCATATACTAGCTCAGAGGTTGTACAACCAGCATCGGTTTTTAAGGCGTTTCGTATCCCTAGGAGAACTAACGGAAGGGATTCAGTCCAGTGGGTGTTATTTGCAGCTGATAAACCAGCTTTCAACTGTCTGTGTAGACGTTCTACCATACCATTCGCTTGAGGATGGTAGGCTGTCGTTCGAAAACGCATGCAACCAAGGATTTTAGTCAAAGCGAAGAATAAACCGCTTTCGAATTGCCGCCCACGATCAGTTGTTATGGAAGATGGGCATCCAAAGTTTGCGATCCATCTCTCTACAAAGACGCGTGCGACAGTTTCAGCAGATATATCCTTGATGGGTACTGCTTCAGGCCATCGTGTGAAGCGATCGATGCAGGTTAACATATAGGTGTATCCATGAGATTCTGGAAGGGGGCCAACTAAATCTATATGGACGTGTTCGAAACGGGCATCAGGGATAAGAAAAGTGCCAAGGGGGCTTTTAGTGTGTCGTATTACCTTGCACTTTTGGCAAGCTAAACACGTCTGTGCCCATTCCCTTACTTCCTTGTTAATACCAGGCCAGCAAAACCGACTAGTTACGAGTTTGACAGTAGTTCGAATACCTGGATGGGATAAGCCATGCAACGTATTGAAGACGTTACGGCGATAACTTTTAGGCACGATGGGGCGAGGAGTACTAGTGGAAATGTCACACAGAATAGTATCCTTTCCTATACCTAAGGGTTTCTTGGCTAGTTGTAGAGTTGTTTTCGACAACTCACGCTGAAGCTCAATATCTTCTTTTTGAAGACGAGCCAGTTTTACAAGGTCTATGCCGTCGATTTCGGTGAAAGAACAAATACGTGACAAGGCATCTGCCATAGTGTTGTTCACTCCGGAAACATGGCGAATATCTGATGTAAACTGTGAAACGTAATCTAGTTGTCGCGATTCCCTGGGTGAATACTTATCTGAAGTTGAGTTCAGAGAGTACGTCAGAGGTTTGTGGTCAGTAAAAATGATGGATTCACGACCCTCAACTGAATGTCGAAAATGACGTAGAGCACAGTACATAGCTAGAAGTTCTCTCCCGAATGTGCTGTACTTCGTTTCAGTTACTTGAAGGCGCTTCGAGAAAAAGGCGAGTGGTTGCCATTCGTTGTTAACTAGTTGTTGCAGAACTGCGCCGATTGCAGTGTCTGATGCATCAACCGAGATACTCAACGGTGCCGTTGGATCCTGATACATAAGGAGGGTGGCATCTGCAATAGCTTTCTTTACCTGAGTAAAAGCATGTCGAGCAGACGTGTCGAGTTCGATAGCCTTGTTGTTCCCTCGAAGGAGATCGGTTAATGGCTGAATTAGAGAAGCACAATTAGGAATAAAACGTCGGTAATAACTTACCAAGCCGTTAAAAGTGCGAAGGCATTTTACTGTCTTTGGCTCCGGAAAGTTCAGTATTGCTTCGACTTTAGTAGCCAGTGGGCGTATGCCCTGGCAGTCAATAGTGTGACCCAGAAAATCGAGTGAGTCAACGCCTATCCGACACTTCTGTATATTGATGGTAACACCATGTTGGCGTAACCTTTCAAATGCCAAGTCCAAGTGTCCAAGGTGAGTTTCCTTATCTGGACTGGCAATGAGGCAGTCGTCTAAGTATGCGTATACAAAGTCGAGACCGCGAAATACTTCGTTGATGAAGCGTTGGAATGTTTGGGCCGCATTCCGGAGGCCGAATGGCATACGTAGGAATTCAAAAAGTCCGAAAGGCGTGATGATAGCCGTTTTCGGAATATCTTCCGTTACCATCGGGATTTGGTTATAAGCTTTAACCAAGTCGATTTTGGAGAATATAGATGCTCCAGATAACGTTGCCGTCAAGTCGTGTATGTAAGGCAATGGGTAGCAATCGGGGGTAGTTTTGGCGTTCACTCGCCGGTAATCACCAGTGGGTCGCCAATCGTTGCTATCCTTTTTCGGTACCATATGCAACGGGGATGCCCATGGACTATTCGATGGCCGAATGATGCCAAGGGTGAGCATATGATCGAATTCGTTTCTGGCAATTCTCAGTTTGTCAGGGGCCAGTCGTCGTGCTTTAGATGTCACGGGCTGTCCTGAGGTTATGAAATGGTGCATAACATTGCTGGTTATGCACGGGAGATCGTTAGATGGGCAATTCAGTTCCGGATATTTGTCAACAATCGGTTGAAAAGTTGGATCGAGGATTGCTTTCATTTTAACGATTGACAAGCTGGGGCCACTGTAAGTTATGCCTTTGATAGACAAACTAGTAGTGTTGTCAAATAATCGTTTACGGCGGACGTCTACGAGTAAATCATGATGATTAAGTAGGTCCGTGCCAATGATGGGCATTGTGACGTCAGCGATTAGAAAAATCCACCGAATAGGTTTGCGTAAACCTACGTTCAGATAGACGTATTTCCGACCATAGGTTGCAATTGGTTTTCCATTTGCAGTCTGTAGGTTGAAGTTAGGATCCTTCTGTCGATCTGCTGCTGTAGCAGGAAGGACGCTGACTTCGGCGCCTGTGTCGACTAGATATCTAGTCTGGCTAATTACATCATGGATGTAAAGTAAGCGGCTAGTGCCACCGGCGACGGTTGCCGCTAACGCGTGCCGGCGGGATAGTTTCCCACAGACTTGGAGGCTTTGTCGAAATCACAAGGTTTTCGACAACATTTCGCTTCCTTGCCATAGGTGTTGTGATACCAACACCAGTCAGGATTTTTGAGAGAACGTGTGTTGGACTTAGATCGTCCACGTACGTTTAGCCGTTGAGGGGATTTAGAACGACGATAGGAAGAATTGCCAGGCTTGTTTGACCTAAGCATCTGCTGGACGGAGTTGCATAACTCTATCATTGCAGAATCCTTTCTCGAAGTCTGTTCGGTAACAGAGTATACTTCGGTAACTGGCCGTTTCGTTATCTCTAGAATTCTATCTGCAGAGACAGCTAAGTCATCTATGAGAACACTTTGAAGTGTCACAAGTACAGTCTGAACTGACTGTGGCAGTTTGGATAAAAATAGTTCTCTGAACAGTCCTTCATCGAACTGACTTTGGCCAATGATCTCTTTCATTCTTGCCAGCACGCTCACGGCTGACTGATCTCCTAACTCGATGTTACGAAATAACTCATCCAGACGTTGTCGATCCGTGAGAACGTTTCTCTTGAGGATGGATGCTTTTAGCAACTCGTACGAGTTACTTACCGACATCTGCAAAGTTACGCACCTGCTGAATTCCCGCGGTAGGGCGTGAATAACTGCAAGGAACTGTGAACGTTGATCAGTTATGCCATGTTCACAAAAATCGGACTCAGCAATCTGAAACCACGTTTCAGCATTATCTGGCCAATATGGTACTAGCTGGATTGTTTTGGCGGTTGAGCGAATCTGAATAACCTTGGGGCTAGGGTCACTCATGACGAAAAGTATGCCGATAACAATATAGTACAAGAATAAACACAAAAAGGAACGAACTCACCGGGTTTATCTGCGTGTGAATTGAAGATGAAGTTCGAGGTTGGGCTCACCAGTCTAGGGGGCTGTAGGTATCGACGTTCGCGAGTTGTACGGATTATACTATCGCAAGATCTTATACCAACAACCACTATAGTGTTCGTTCTTCGAGTACCAAATGGTAAAGCAAAAGACCAGATTTTGTCGTCCAAATACGATATATATTTTGGGACCAAATCGCGGGTAGGAATGAATGCTTAGCTAGCTAGTAATCGTGCACGCACGTGACACGACGAAGCACCAAATGGCGGGGATGCTTGACCGTAAGCCTTCAGCTAAACAAGTCGACTTAAACAGTGATGGTCAGCATCCAATGTTGAGTGATGATTGCTGTGGTTAATAATTTTGGGGAATTATTTACCGCTACAAGCTTATTGAAGAATGTGATTTTGCTAGTGTAAGACAGAATAAGTGCATGAGAGATCATTCCATAGTAGAGTCATACGGGAAACTGCTTATGTTGGAATCTCTTTCCCTTATCATGCAGTATACACAAACGAGATCTAATCACCATGTTTGAAACTTAGAGAGGCAACTTCGGACCTGCCTCATCTCCTGTTTTTTTTCATAACTTGTTGTGCGTTGGTGGCACAGCGGTTATGACACTCGCCGATCATGCACATGGTCCGGGGTTCGATCCCCTGCTGATGCACATCTGATATCTATGGTCGGCCTGCAAAATTCGGGCTACCGAAATCACGTGCTGGAAATTCCATACCCGTACCAAAACTACGGTGTGGAACCAAGCTGTAATCAAAAAAATATCTGTAAAGAGTGATTATTTTATTTTGCAGTACTGGTTCTCCTACCATGTCATTAAATCCTTGAAGCGAAACCTAGAAAAAGTGTCGCCTGGTCCATCAGTTAACTTTTTCGAGATGCGCCTAGACTAGAAGAGATATTTATAAGGAACCTGGAAGTTTTCTTCTTTCATTGGGCGATGGTTTGAAATTCGGTAACTCACTGTCCGAAGTTCTCAATTCGAATTCAAGGTCAATGCCTTGTTTCTTCTTGGTACGGTAGTTTCCTCCAGTGTTCTTATTATCGGAAATTAATGGGCATTTTACGGTTAAGAATGTTCACTTACGTCACAATCTGGGTGTGACTTAACATTTTTATCTATGGGTTAATATGAGTACGTAATTACTGCTGGCAAACAAAAAGAATTCTTTACATTTTGCATGTGGTTTCAGTCATAGGTATATATAAATTTATAAGCATATCCAAATTATTTGTAATCCTGATGGGTTACTCTTCATCATTAACAAGTAATTAATGCACTGTCATTAGTGTTTTCTATGTATAAACTACGGATAGACCGAGCTGGCATTGCTTTTAATCATGCCTAGATTCAGTCTCAGTGCAAAATATTTGGGTGAACCTCAAGCTCTTCCAGTGAATTACGAGATTCCTAAATTTTTTCTCCTGAACCCAGCCAGCAACGATTTCGGGCGTATTGCAGGCATTTTGGGGCAGACTTTGGTTCAAATTCTCGAAATCTGCAATGCGCATGAAGGTTTTTGCCCCCAAAACGTCTGCAGTGCGCCCGAAAAAAAAGCTAACTGGGAAACGATAGTGTTTGTACAAATAAATTTCTTTTGTTCGACACACGAAAGTGTAATAGTTGTTATCCAGCTACCGGACTTATTGTTACTTCGCACATCCTAATTTCTTTGTTATTGGTCCCTTGTTGTAACCCTTGTTTAACGTATTCTCCAGTTTTTGCTGCTGACGTATATGATTTTTTTCCTAAACACGATCAGTCATTAAACATGTCGAGTCACTAAAGTGACCTTTAAACTATCGCCGTAGAAAAAAGATATCCTTAGTAATCGTTTGTGATCATAATTGTCTTCAAAGACATATTTATAAATTTGAGTTTCTCGTCTTAGGCGTGATTGATCATCTTATAGTTAGGAGTGTATAAGTTAATCTCTGTAGTTGTTTCTTTCCCATACGTAATTTAATTTATTCTGATATGGACAATCAGATTATTAAAACGGCTTATTCTCTTTTTCCGGTCGCTTAAAGCACCACTGAAATGTATATAATAGATGCATTGTAAGCGTTTATTAATGTTTCTTGGTTGTGCCGGTTTTTCGAAAATAACCACAGTATCCTGATTTCCACAACCTTATATAATTTCTCAATAAGAATATTATTTACTGATTTCAGTTACCTCTATTGCTTTTTAGTTTTTTTGGCGACTTCTTTCGGATAGACTAAAGAAGAAAAATGCTAATATCCTAAAGAATCTATTGCACTATGTCAGTAAGGCAGATGAGCAAACTAATAAGCAAGTTAGTTACGAAAGTTTTTTGTCACTTCTGCTTGACAAACTTTGTTATCTAATAAGGTTTAGGACTAATTTACCCGTGTTTCAACGGATTGAAATAAATTTTTTATCAAGGTTAATTAGTCTCCTTTCTCCACAATTTGCAATGGGGAATCTTTTTGGATTTACTTTCACCTACTTGGCGTAAATTACTTTTACTGATTCAAACTCTGTGTTCATAATTGAAAACATGTTAATGGTGGTAAGAGTGGCATAGAGTGCAGCATACTCCGGTCGGTGATACAGTGAGGGATTTTGTAAATCAAATGTTCAAATCAAATACTCAGAATACGTGTATTCATGAAGGCATTTTGTTGATTTCTGAAAATCAAAGTCTTCAGCGAGAATTGCACTCATTTTGCTGTCTTTTATACATTATGAGAACAGTTCAAAGTACACTGCTGGCTGCTCGTGCCGTTTTATGTTTGGCCAAACATACGCATAAAAATAATCTTTCAGATTGCTCTGTTTAAAGCTTTTCATATGGTTTTAAATAAGGTGAGTTTCGCTTTGACTTCACTCAGTATTTCAACACTTACATTAGTTGGACTATATTAATCGTTTCAAGCTCATCTAAAGCTAACATTCAATAAAGGAAGCCGTTATGGTTTTACTGAAATCATGTCTTCTGTTCAAGCTTTACGCTCTTATCCTTGACAAGGAAGACTAGATTGTGATTCAAACAAAGTGAGCTTCAACGTTGTCAAACCCCACATAGTTGTTATTGCTCTAGATTGTTAAAGTCAGTCAATTTCTGGTTTCAATTTAACATTGAAGAGCCTTAACGTCTTTTTATTTGAGATCCTAGTATTAATCTCTTTCTTTCCATTCCTTGCGTTCCGAGTGGAACATACGGCTTCAGTCTTTGGGTTTCTCGATTTCAGCAGTAACGGTATTTTTACGTTGTGGGTTTTCTTAGCTTCATGCACAACCTATGTTCTCCTCTGGGCTTACCCGTAGCTAGGAAACTAGGCGAAGTTTAACAGCGTATTCGGCCGTAATCGAACCTGCGCCATTTGTGTTTGGCGACAATCCTGCCATTGTACGGCTGACACATCCTGTATTACTAATTCTAACTTGATTACCTGAGCGAACGTCCCGTGTGTTCGGTCTAAATTTCGACAACCAGTGCCGTGAATAGTTGTTAGTTTACTTCTCTATTGATCATTTTTATTCACTTGAAATTTGAAGTTCCTCATTATATGATTTCTTTTTTATTAGTTGGTAAATTTGATGCATAGTAATGTATTTGTTAGTCCCCTACTCATCTGAGTACCAGGCTTCTAGAAATTCCCTGATATTTTTGGTTTTTCGTTTAAGTGAACGACAAAGCTATTCTGTATATTCAAAAAAGAAAAATTTGTTAGAGTGGTCAAATCCCCAAGAATATATTTCACCTGTTGTTGTGCAATTTGAAAATTATCACTAAGGTTCTGCAACTACCGGTTACTATGTCTTGACTGACTTCTGTCCAACTAAGTTATTTGACCGTTACATACGTATCATTCAATCTGTAACACTCCTTCGCAATTAGAGAATATCTCTGAATTTATTTTCTGCTAACTTGTTATCTTAACAGCGGCTTTTATTTCACTCCACTATACTATTTAATCACGTGTTGTTAATATCCATCACTTTTAAGATCAATAACTACAGTATACGGGTGTGTTAAGTTGTTCATGGTTGTACACAGCTGAAAAGACTCAATGAGATCAAATGACGCCATTTTGTTCTGCACAATATCTTCATGCTTTGTTCAAGTCTAAAAGGGGAAACAATTGTATGGTATTGGGATATTATCTGTTTTAATTTGTGTCAAACACTAAACCTGGTACAATATAGACACCAAATAGATGCACCACACAATAATAAAAAAAAACAAAATATGAGAAAAAAGGTGAAGGACGAATAAGGACTTCATCCGGAAAGGAATCAACTGTATTTAACAAGACCAGGAAGAAGAGAATTGCAGCACGTTCGCCATTGATTACGATTCTTGGTCATGTATGGTACTGTTTGGAGTTATCTCTCGGACCCGAACCAGAGTCGTGACGCTCTAACCGATTCTGACTTGGCACAAATGTACGATGCCACCTCTCTACTTTTTTCATCCCATTCCAGTGACGGCGAGCAGAGTCTGGTAAGGAAAGGATGACATCCGCAGCACATCTCCAAGCGACTGGAGCCATTGTTTTCAAATTACGACACTCAATGTTTTCGTGATCTCCGCGGTGTTCAGATACTCTGCCAGACGCAAACCTCAGAATTGCTCACACGATGATGCCATCGAATCCAAGCAATTCTACGGAGACAGCGATGGTTGAATACGCATAGTCATTGCACATCCTCAGCTCGGAGAGGCCAGGTGTCGCAGGCGTAGAGTAAGATTGAGAACACTGAATCATTGTAAACCCGACCTTTGACATCCAGGCTAACGTCACAACGGCGCCAGAGATGTCTCATATTGCCGTATGCCGCCCTAACTTTCATGATACAGTTGGAAATCTCGTCCATCACCCTTCCGCCAGCATACACAACTACGTAGATACACGAACTTATCGGAAACTTCAAGCGGTTCACCTGCAATGGTTGTTGCAAGTACAGGCTTCTGTCAATCTTATCACAGCACTTTGCACACAAATGGTGCAAAGCACATATGATACTTACAGACGTTTACTGCAAACTGATTAAGTGCAATTTAGTTAGTCTGTGTGCTGTCGCACAGTAAGACGATATCGTCTGACTTATTGAGGTCAGAAAGTCTTTTTCCGGGAAGCAGATCTACACCACTACCACTACTCACGTCCTTCAGAGCTGTCTCCAAAATGTTATCGATAGCAAAGTTGAAGAGAAGTGGAGAGATCGGGAAACCCTATCTAACCCCACTGTTGGTTGGGAACAGTCATGATGGCTGGTCGTATTCCCTCACTTTACCTGAGGTATGTCCGCATAGGGCTTTCAGGATGTTAACAAACTTCTCAGATACACCACTCTCAAACAGACAGTTCCAGAGAACAGTTTTGACCAACTAATCGAAGGCAGCCCTAATATCAAGAAACAACAATTGTTTACCTGCAATACGTGTGGCGGTGTTCCAGCAACTGACGGAGAGTGAACACATGACCAATGCATCTACGGCTTGAACGAAACCCAGCCTGCTCTTTATGAGTCAACTCACCGCGTGTTTTATGCAGCCCACATGACCAGACAGTAGCCAATGTTCTAGACGTAACTGGTAGCAATCTGATACCCCTATGGTTGTCGCATGTGTGACGCCGACCCTTTTGCAAGATGGGGACTGTGATGGCTTCATTCCACATTGACAGAACATCCTCACTTTCCTGAACAATCTAGTTAAAGCCATAACGAGAACTTCTCCACCATCTTTAAAAAAAGAGCAGGGGGTAATTTGTCTTGGCCAGGTGCCTTATGGCACCTCAACACTTGGAGTTACTTTCGAGCCTCCGCTTCGATTGTTGGGTCGGCATTACCGACCAGAGAGCACTGTAGCTGATAATGGTGAGTGCTGGAGCTAGTGGTCAGCTTAACTTCTTCCCAAAGTGCTCTGCTCGGCGTTCCAGGCGTCTTCTAGGCCGGTGATTAGCGTCCTATCTGCCTCACAGACTGTCTCGCTGACACCGTGCTTCTTACTGTCTGTGGCTTGGATGAGATGCAACAGCTTCCTATTGTTGCCAGATGCAGCTGCTGATTCCATCTCACACACATGTTCTGACCACCAGGCTTCGCGGTTCTTACATAAACACTGTTTAATCTTGCGCATCAGCGCCTTTCTCATATTGTTGTACTTAATGCCTGCCCTTATGCACCGGCGTTCATCTAGAAGTCGCAAGGAATACTTAGAAACCTAGTGGTTTTTTAGTGAAGCATTTTTTTGAGCCGCAAGCGGCTTTATTCGTTATTTCCATGGCACCTTGCAGATGTAGCAAATATTCATGTATATATCTTGAAAAGTTGCTAGCTAACTTTGATTGTAACTCAACTTGGTACTTGAAAGAGGTAGCAGGTGTTACCAGTTTGCTCACATCATGTAGATGACGCCGTTTATGAACCCCACCAAATCGTAAAACGAACCTTGTACACACTAAAGCATGATTGGAGTCCGGCATGTGCTACAGGAGTGGCAGTCCTATGTGCATCATCGCCATCGGAAACTGACATTAATATGACCAATCTGAGTCCAGGCTTGATAAAACTAAACAGAAATGCCCACTATCTCCATTTCTGTTTAGTTTTATCATAGATATCGTTCAAATGGACTTAGCCCTAACTGACTTCAGCGACTCAGCAATTGACTTGTTACCAGGAAATAATCTCGTTGACTTAGAATATGCAGATGATATAGTCGTCCCTCCTAGGTGAAGACGCTGACAAAATGCAGAGTCTTCTAAAGATATTTAGCAGCAATCTGCGAATGTTTGGCATGCGATTCGCTCCTGTCAGATGTAAGATGATACTACAGGAATAAAATACATCGACTAATTCCTAGCTTAAAGATAGGGAGAGAATTTGCTGCTGAGAGTGTTGATCACTTCACTTATTTGGGGAGTTGCATCAGCCAACTCCAGTGGGTTAATCGCTGACGAAAACTCAGCACGGATACAGAAGGATGGTTTCGCATATGCGAACTTATTATATCTGTGGTTTAGTAGACGTGGTTTCTGGCTTTCGATCAAAGGGCATATGTACTGTTCAGCAGTTCACTCTGTCCTCCTTTATTGCTGTGAGACATGGCCATTGAAAGTGGAGGACATGAAAAGCCTGGCTAGCTGGCTTTGATCATAGGTGCCTGCGTTCTATCTCTCGTTTTAAGTGGTATAATAAGGCAAGCAATATTGAAGTTAGGCGTCAATTGCTAGGTAAGCAGGAGAAATCAGTCGACGAGACTGTAAAGTTACACCGATTGAGATGGTTAAGACATGCGTTAAGCATGCCTAGCCTAGCCATAGCCTTCCTCAACAGGGAATATTAGCTGACATAGGGTCAGGTTGGAAAAGAGCCAGTGGTAGTCAAACCAAAACATGGCATCAGTCAATGAGATCTACAACAGTTAGTTTAAGCCAGCCACGTCGGGATGTGTAGACCTCCTGTTTGGGGTTCTCAGGATGGTAAGAACCAATGGTTGGAGACAATCAGTGATGTGTTTCGAAATCGTTCTCAGTGGTACAGATGCATCAACTCTTTGTGATTTATAATATCCAATAAAATTCCATTGTTCCTCCTTATTACTACTCTTTTTGCCTCACATTTCTGTTTGTTATCTCTCTTTTGAATCACTCTTCTCATGCTGTGTGTGCTACGTGGAGTGTGGCGACTCGAACTGGTGCACATCTGTGCAGAGTTCTCCGTTGAAAGCATTCAGTTCAGGCTTGATTGACAGAGGAAAGACGCCACGTAACGCTACGGTGAATGCTTTACCAGAAGTTGGTGTATGCTCGGAACAGGTTGTGGTCTGCGCAAATTCGCAGAAGACAGTCCCCACTATCTGACCTGCGACCATGTAATGCTCACCAACCACCTAGACAACTCTCTTCTGAATGTAAACGCCCGACCTATGCAATCAAGTCCCCAGTCAGCATTACGATATCTCTCTAATGCATGTGTTTCCGGAGATTGGTCACCTGGCGGTTAAATGCCTCCCTAATTGCATCTGGGCTGCAATCCGTCGGTGCATTAACAGAGACTACAAATAAACACCGTTTATCTGACCTACCACCTCTTACTCTCGTATAACCTTCCAGGTTCACATCACATGAACGATTGTTAATTGGAATCTAGTTGAGTAATTCAGCGTCGTCTCTAGCGCTTAGTACAATAGCAACACCACCTATGTCTTTTGCCGACGTCACGGCGTCTCCTGATTAGCTCAGGTGGTACATACTATTCGAGGGGAAAGATATTCGAAGCAATTCACTGGAATCTTGAGTGCGGGTCTACGAAATGCAGCAGACATCGAGGTTTCTCAGTGTTCTTATCAGACCTGTCTGTTGTCCGATTTGCATGAGTGTCCGAACATTGTAGGTAGCAAGCTTGAGCGCGGCACGCAGTTTTAAAATATCTTTGTTGTGTCACATTGGGGTGCATACTGCCGATGATTTCCAAACTAGGATGAAACAGCTGTCCAGTACTCCCTGGTTTTCAATGGTTCTCTAACTGATATCAGTCCGTGATCAACTCGTAAAAACATAAATAACCCTTACAAACCAAACTATAGAAAATCAGTTAGAATTAGTCTGTGATTTGCTTTTTTTTCTGTAGCTTTCAGAGAACGTGAGGTGAGATATATAGCAGCAGTACAGTATCAGCCTTCGTCACTTCAAGCAGGTTAATATTGATAGAAGATATTGAGTCACTGTATGTATTAGTTCTCATCTGTTCACCTGTGAATAGCTTTCTGGGTATGATCGAAGTTCGTGCAGTAAAGCTGACTATTGTTATAAGCTGATGTAATCCTCTCTATAGTTCAGTCTTTTAGATTCGCCCACACACAACAACATTTCTAGTCAGTTATCTTCCCACACAATTTATTATCAAAGGCCTATATTTTGTTGTAATTCGCTCGATACAACTTAATGGTACAGATTTATGGGGAGGATTCTTAGACCAAGCTGAATTTCTTCTTATGTGAATTACGCGGTAAGTGAAATGTTCAGTGGTTCGTATTTACTTCACTCGGATTTTATGTGATAACGTTTACTTGTGATTTCAGTATGTTTAACATGCCATGAATACTCATTTTGACCACTTTACAGATCAATTATATAATTCAAGAAATCTATTTGTCTACGTTAGAGAAAAATTTTGACAGCGCGTCTCTCTTCGAAAGTCTGAGAAATAAGATAGTAGAAAAGAAAACACCGGGCGAATTTAGTCATGGCATAATCATGTGAGTTTTTACTTAATTTTTCAAAACCACTTACCTGAAAGTTTGTAAGTAATTCCTCTGGTTGATAAGAGACTTTTTAATTTTTTTGAAAAATACCCGACAATAGGCAATCTAACAAGGCGAATACAAACTCAGGAATGGAAAATCCTCTTCTTGAAACAGTCGCCCATCCTGCAAGCCATAGACTCCTGCGATGTTCAAAGTGTGGAACTCATGGTGAACAACATGTACTTTCTGACTTTCAGATTCAGTTAATTTTAAGAATGGAAGGAATACGTGATTGGTTTAATTTAGTGAACTCATGTGGTCTACTAAGTGAACTTGATCCACCACTACCATCTATTACTTCAGTGGAAAAGCGTATTCGAATAGGGTCGTGGAATCTCAATCGTTTTGGTTTAAGTAAAGCTGAACATCCAGGATTTATGGAAGTAGTATGCTTAACAATACTACGGGCGAATTTCTCACTGGTACTTCTCCAAGAAGTTTCAGATCCTGTAGTTGGTGAACACGTAAGTATACATTATTCGTTCAGGCTTTTTTGAATAAATGATGTTTTTTTAATTGACAACAGCGAATATTTCTTGTGAGTTATGAATTGACTTTGACAGCCAGTGTCATTTATGTATTATTGGTGTGAGACAATGGTCTGTTTTAAAACTTCAAAGATAGTTACCTAATAGTTGATTCAGAAATAATTACATAGTGTTCAAAATAGTTATCGTGGTAGGAAAAACGGTAGAATCTGCAGGCGAAAGTTGCTTTTAATGGTATCAGAAAGGTAGTTCAAAATAAGTGAGTTTATTATGTGTACCGATTTCTTCAGCACGTGGATTTTATTGCCAAGCCTCAGTGCTTCAGTCATAATTTTGTCCAGTTTAACACGTGATAAGTTGCAGACGGGTAAGCATTCTTATAAGTACGCTTTTATTAGTTTGTTTAATAAGGTTTATATGGAACTCTCACATTTTCTTCACTGAGAATGCTGAATGAAGTTAAGGAGTTTAACTCGGTATATGATGTTCTATTCTTTGAACAGCTTACCAAAAACACTCGATTATATCCTTTATAATCAGTAAAAGCGTTGATTCAGTGTGATATTTTGCCAACACTCTTAGGGCTTCATCAGAGGAAAACAATTTACATTAATGAACAACCATTAATACCACATAAAAAAGATCTTCCTCCTTATGATTTAAAAAACGGAAATATGAGCGTGTAATATTTGAGAAAACTTAATTCTAAGTTTCTGAATCAGTCAGTAAATGTATGGCGAAAAATATCCAAAGTTACTTAAGGTCTCTGATAAATGCATACGTTTTTTCTTTTCATTATCAATTTACAAAATCTCTACATTCCTTCTTCTGTTAAAAACGTAAGACGTTTGACATAATTTAAGATTGAATTAAGGGTATCATTGATTATAGAGCTAAGAAATCAAACAAGCGGTCGACATACAGCATCATCAGTAGCTGCTGTTTGTGGTGGGTTATTCTAAGAGATTATGACTCTGAATTCGTCACTGTGTGGTGAATGCATTCATACTTCATCTTCATCTTTAGCTTAGTTTCTTTCATTTCTTTGTCTTCCTATTATCAATTTCTGTTTGTCTAGTTGACACATAAAATTCAAATTTATGTCACGTTTTCTTTGGAAGTAATTATAAAATGCATGTGATTACTTGGAGCTTGGGAAATTTTGCACATGTTGTGATTTCTTTTATTAGATGGACTCATTCCATTTAATTCATAACTCAGTATAAACTCAAAGGATTGTTTAACTCATACATTTATTTCATTTTAGCTATGTGCTGAGTTAAACTGTCCATCACTTCCTCACGTAAAAGAATGGGCTAGAAAACACTCTCCTGTTATTACTCCTAATTGGAAGGCGTCTTGTTCGCTTCAGCCTACAGGGTCTATGTTCCGTGGGAATGAGTATGCTGTATTTTTATACAATTCTTCATTCGGCATACGAATTTCTCGAACAAGTTTGTTAGAAAAGTCTTCAACTCCAAGGTCTGTGCTGAGAAAGTCGTTTACACGTAGTCCTTGTGGAGCGTCTTGTCACGTAAGTAACAAAACTGATATTCTCCACTATCGTAATTTAGATATTCGTCACATCTTAATGACCAAAAACTTGGTCTTTTTCTTAACTCATTAATCCAAAAGGCTTAAACAATTTATTGATAATGGCAGAATAACTTTGCTGCAAATCCAAGGGATGAGTAAGAATTCATTTCAGTGCTTCTACGCCAGTGTACTTCTAATTCTTTCAAGCCTACTAAATTATAATCATTGTTTCGAAGTATGCAGATGAATGTTTTGTAATCGAAATACCGGAATTGGTGTTGCTTCACACTTGTTTCCTTTGTTTATACCAGAGTTGTGACTTGTAAGCTTATAGAGAGTGATAACAATCAAATATTTGTGACATCAGTGTTGATATTACAGTGCAGATTAAACTTGTATCACTAACTTTCAGATTCAAAGCACTAAATTGGTTCTGATCTCAGTGCACTTAAAAGCAAGTGGTTTACGAAATAGTCAAATTGGGCAAACTATTTCAGAAATTCAATCTCTCGGTTATCTAGTTCAAGCCTTTTACGAGACCCAACCCAGTGAGTGTTCGTTACATACCATATTTTGATTCTTGTATCTATTCTCTTTCATTAACACACAGCTTTTCCTAACTTTTTTTCAAATTACGCAGTCTTTAGTCCTTGAACTCCCTCTGGTTACAGTTTTATTATTCTACTGTTTTGAAATATTCTCATCATGTAAAGAATATTCCAAACTAATGTATTTTTACGCTGTAATATATTTATTTCCTAAATGTTCATTATCATTGATAACTATTTCTGCTTGGTACAGTGACTGGTTACTATATCGCTAGTGATATCTTAAGGTTTTGTAAAATTGTGAAAGGTGAACTGCTCGTTAACTTGAGAAATCCACCCCAGTTAATTTTAACTATATAGTAGAGATTTTGTGCTTGAACTTTCTTCACCTGTAAAACGAACTTGCGTATATACTTTAGCTGACATATCACATCCAAAAAAGCTTAGTGTACGAGTAAAAACAATTTGGGAATTCGTATGATCAATCCACTTGAAAACGTGTGTTTCCGTTTTTGGAAAGCAAACCCAGTAAGTCGTTTGCAACATGCCTTTTCGTTTTTTAACTCGTTGGAGTGCAGTAGTTCATTCACTAATTGAACAGCATAAAAGACACCGCTTTTGACATTCTGACTCAAACATCTCTGTGGGTTGGATGTGTGGGTTTTGGTTCTGTTTTGTTTATTGTTTCTATGCGACTACTAATTCAATCTGACTGTAAATGTTCCACGATCATTCTCATTTTAGAACTCAAAAATTTCGCCGTGTAGTAATACCTTACCTTATCAAATTACTCTATAATGCGTTGTGTGATAGATTTTAGAGAAATAAACCATATAATCAAAAACTTATTTGATACCCTTTTGTCACAAGAATAGATTTCCTCCGGTTCACGTTCTCTATGAAGATAGCGGGTGTAGTATGAAATCCCTGAGTAAAGAACACTTCGTCAGGAATGACTTATTTACCCTGATAATTATTTGTAGCCCTCGATCAGTCTCAGCTTATGAATCGGTATGAACAAACAGAAGGGTAGAAGTTATGTGTAAATGTAATTATTCTAATCATCTCTATAATCAGAATGTATTACTTCTTTAGTTCGATACCTTTCAACGCACAACCTATACCTCATAATGTTTATGAGTTACTCGAAAGATGTTCAGTGGAAGATAGTAATTTTTGTTAGAACATTATTATCAGATAATTTCCTGAAATAATATATCTTCGATGGATATATTCTGAAGTCGTACAGTGAATAATACATCATATTTCAAAGATTAAGTTCCATAAAATATAGGGAAGTTATAATGATAATAACAGTAGTTATCGTAGTAACAATAATAATTGGGTTTGTAAAAGTTAAGTAATCATCAGCATGGGTGTGTTAGATTCCTAATCTGCTTGCTGTAGAATGCAAATGACTCATGAATGAAGTTATTGTCCAAGTCACCTAGGTGATCAAAATCAAGTACTCAGAAATAGAAATTCGAATCCTCACGTTCAAATACTTGTAAACCTGTTAGAATTCAGTTATGCAGTATAGGTAATTCATATACTATCCTATGCGCCACATTCATAGTGCGGACTGGTAATCCTACATAAGCTGAAGTAGCTGGAGGTGGATCTGAACTCTTGACTCACTATTTGAAAGTCGAGTGTGAAATGCGATGAATCAGATCACCTCTGCTCATTTGTATTCTGACAAGTGTTTTCCGCTCGAAGCCCATGGGAATAATAATGAACAAATGATAAAACGCATCTCAAAAATAATCTCTTGCTACGACCGATTCATAAGTGGATCATGTGACGTGGCTGTTACATAATGCTATTTCCTCATGTGATCGATTACAGTCCTTAACTGTGCCTTTGTTATTGAGACTCTAGTTCAAGCTCGTACACGCGTTATCTACAAGCCCACAAATAAAATAAGTGTCTAATATCTTCGAGTCCCTGTGGTTTAACAGTATAGTGCTCTCTAGCCACGCCTCTGGTCCAGTTCGATTCCCGGTTGGTGCACTTCTAAACCTCACCCAATTCTCTAGCCTATAGTAAACTTATAAAAGAAGGAAGATTTTGTGTGGGGCTAACGGTACCACTCCTTAAAAATAATACTGCCGCTACTGAAAATTCGAAACCTAAACCTTGAAACTCAATGTTTCACTTGGAACACAAATGAATAAATACAAAGATTTTCGGAAGTGACTTGGTACCTACTAATGTACGCGTCTTTCAGATCGGTAAATACTTTAGCAGTAGGTAATATGAAAACAAGTATTCAGAGATATCTATATAGCAACAGTTATTTAGAACATTAGAGTAGCCGTATAAATAATGTAAATAGACAGCTAGCTGAGAAAGTATGAAGGAAGAAACACTGGAAGAAATTGAAATCTTGGGGTTTTATTTTGAAAGAGAAATCTAAGCTTCAACATTAACTTAAGAGAGTCCCGTTAATTTTCTTACTTGAGCATACTGGTATCATTATCTTTCTTAATGTAATTTAGTAGAATCTCAGTTCATATACTTTACTTCGTTTCTTCAATTAGGTGGAACGCATCTCATCATAGCCGGTGATTTCAATCTCTTTCCCACACATGAGGGTGAGTTTGAACTTATTATAAGTAAATACTATGTATATCCTACAATTGATTTCAAGAATTTATTATTTAGTTTAGTGTGGATTTTATGTTTAAACACTGATATGAATTATTTCTAACAGGTTGACGAAAATTCTACGTTACAGGTTGCAACAGTTTTATATTGCCTTAAGAATTTCTTGGTGTTTTGAAAAGCTTGGCACATCAGTATAGTTTCTGAATTGCATTTATCTTTTGTTCCTAAAATATTTAAGAAGTTTTTAACAGTATTTACAATTGACGGATATGTTAATTAGGTCGCTCCCTCTGTTACGGTGATTTGTTTAATCTCATTTGACATAACCATTTAGTGAAAATCAACTTAGTGGATAGTGTTTATTGAACCTGTTATCGTTTGGTTGTTCCCTTTTGGATTTGAAATTGATTGTGTGCCGAAGATTCACACCTAGATTATTATCTCCTTGAGTTTCATATCCTGTCACTTACCACAATTCTGCATTACAGATTAGCAGTTAGTGAACCTTTATCATCAGAATATCACCCTTTCTTTCAAATAAGTGTGAAGAATACAGCAGATGTGAATGCATCAGCAACTTGGGGTAAACACGATGAATAACGACCAAGGCGAAAGACTCACGAAATGATCAACAACCAATCAGTATCCCTTTGTTGAAAAGGATACTTTTTACGTGCTACCTTTGTAACAACAGAAGGCAAGACACGGAATCCAAAGTATAATTTTCATTGATCAAACCGCTGTTTATATATTTACCGTTTATATTCTTTAACCAATCACTGAGCGTGTGATTTCGGTTTACATCAAAGGACATGAAATAGAATGTTCAAATATACATAGCATTCTTTTGTTAATGCAGTATATAACTGCAGTATATAACCGAAAGCTGCTACCTTGACGTGGTGGTCGGGCTTGAACACCGCAATGACCCAACTAGCTATAATGGCTGAGACTTATGTCGCTTGAGGTCGTACCATGCCAGAAAGGTTGTTTGGATAGCGGTTAGACAAAAAGCAGTTATCAATCCAATGCTATGACTCAAACAAAATCACAAAATATCATGCGGGATCGGTCGGGGCCCGGATTAACAACGACCGCGCTTCCTGCTGCCGTGTCACAGGGCAGAAGTGATAAATATGCTACTGAGACACACCAAATAAAAAGAACAAACAAAAACAGGCCGCGTGTGACCGGTCTCAAGCAGTTGTCCCCTGGGCTCTGCGGTTACGCAACCAACTTCCACGGTGTGGGCAGCCGGGAAGTAACAATCGCCCTCACAATCCGAAATGCACGCGAAACCTCTCTAATCCTCACTCATCTTTGTCTTCATCTTCATCTCTATTATCTTGCCTTCCTTCTGCTGATGCAACTCCTCTACTTGATGACTCTTCACTTCCTCTTCACTCTGTGCCCACTAAAAACGATGGAAGCCACGCCACCAATTTCATATAGGAGTATTTAATGTTAGAACACTTTTCCAAATAGGACAACAAGCATCACTAGCCGAGACTCTGGCACTCCGAGTGTTTCAGAAACACACATACAAGTCCCAAGTGTGGCTATTCACCTAACCCCACCTGGCTAACAGGATGAATCTGCAAAATTCACCTTGAGGGTGTCAGGAGATGCCACAGCTAGTTCACGAGGATTAGCTGGTGTAGTGATAGCTTTGAATACTAGGGCAGAAAAGACATTACTTGGCTGGATCCCGGTAGATAGTCGAATGTGTGCTGTCCGTCTGAACGGATCAGTAAAAAGGAGAAAGGATTGCACTACTCGCCGATGCCTTTTCGTAATCTCCGCCTACGCCCCCACTGACTGCAGTTCGGATGAAACGAAGGATGAGTTCTACCAAAAGCTGTCTAGTTTGCTGCGAAAGGCCAAACGCTCAGATATAGTCGTTCTAGCTGGTGACTTTAATGCTCAAGTAGGGAAATTGTGTCAATCTGAGAAGGATGTGGGTGGCACCTATGGAGTTCCGTGCCAGCGAACCGACAACGGTGACCGTCTCCTACAATTCTGTTCAGATAATCATTTGTTTCTTGTAAGCACTAACTTCAAACACAAGGAGAGACACTGTTTGACCTGGCGACCCCCATCATCAAATCAACGCTGGACACAAATAGACCACATAGCAATAAGTTATCGTTGGCGTGGGTCGGTAGGAGATTGTCGCTCCTTCTGGGACACGTGTATAGATACCGATCACGCACTGGTCCGCGCTCGTGTGTGCTTACGACTGAACGAACACTAGGAAACAGCTGGCGGTGAACTTATCACGTCCCCAGCTCGGTCAGGAAACTAAGTCCCTATTTGAGGAAGAACTAGCTAAACACATATCTGAGTTCGACAGCTGTGCTCACCCTGAAGAAGCCTGGAAGAATATTCAGTCAGCCATAGATACAGCTGTAAAAGCTGTGAATAAGGTAAATCCAAAGGTGAGTAAAAACCATTGGATTTCGACTGCCTCATCCGAACTGATAGATGCTAGAAGACTTATTCCGGCGAGCTCCGAATTCAATGAGGAGTGAGAGCTGCACAAAAGGAAACTTACGAAAAGTCTCCGCAAGGACCGTGAACAGTGGTGGTTGACAAAGGCGAAAGAGATGGAAAAAGCATCGGCGATAGGCAACACTAGGCAACTCTTTAGACTCATCAGGGAAACGGGTGGGAGAAGGCAAATCATAAGTGAGACTATTTCTGAGAAAAATGGCTCCTTAATTAGCTCTTAGGATAGACGCCTTGAACGCTGGAAAGAACACTTTGAGGAACAATTTAACTTGCCTACAGCCACACTGAACCTCCCCGCCATTCAGCACACACCCGAATGGGAAAGAGACACTGATCCGCCGTCTGTAAGTGAGGTCACAAAAGCTGTCTGTAATTTGAAAAGAGGCAAAGCGGCAGGACCCGACGGAATTATTCCGGAGGTGTTTAAATATGGGGGTGACATACTAGTATATAGTTTAACTAAGGTACTAGGTAACGTCTGAGAATCAGAGACGGTTCCATCAGACTGGGGTAAGTCACTTATTATACCGATATTCAAGAAGGGAGACAAGTCCTCATGTGATAATCATAGGGGGATCAGCCTAACGAACATAGTTTCTAAAATCCTAGGCTCAGTAATCATGCACAGACTAAGCAGAACTCGGGAGGAACAAACGAGGGAAAATCAATCAGGCTTTAGGCCAGGTAGAGGGTGCATAGTTCATATATTCACTCTCCGACAGATCCTAGAATATAGACACACTTTTAGGCGTGCAACAATTGCCACATTTCTTGACTCGAAGGCGGCCTTCGACTCCGTGGATCGAAAGGTACTATGGCAATGTTTGACTGTGAAGGGAGTGGCAAGAAAGTATATTGCACTAATCAAGGCACTCTACTCAAACTCACGTAGCCGTGTAAGGGCTCATGAGGAATTGTCATCTGAATTGATAACAACCAGTGGTGTCCATCAAGGATGTCCACTTTCCCCATACCTGTTTAACTTCATCATAGATATGCTAATGGAAGTATCCTTAAGTGAGCTTAACGACTTAGGAATCGACTTGTTACCAGGGAAGTCTAATCGACTTAGAATATGCAGATGACTTAGCCCTGTTAGGGGAGGATGCTGACAAAATGCAGAGTCTTCTGAACACCTTAAGCAGAAATCTTCGTATGTTTGGCATGCGATTCGCCCCTGTAAAATGTAAGATGCTGCTACAGGACTGGACTACGTCAATTCCCAGCTTAGTGATCGGGAATGAAGTGATAGAACATGTTGACCACTTCACCTATTTGGGGAGTTGTATCAGCACCAACGGACTGATTGATGACGAAATCTCAGCACGGATCCAAAAAGCTCGGGCTGCTTTCGCTAACTTACGCCACCTCTGGCGTAGGCGTAACATCCGGCTATCAACTAAGGGACGTTTGTACTGCTAAGCAGTTCGGTCCGTCCTTCTCTATTGCTCTGAAACATGGCCTATACGAGTTGATCATAGATGTCTACGATCTCTTTCTCACGTTAGGTGGTATAATAAGGTAAGTAATGTTGACGTTAGCGGCGGTGAAACGAAAACATGGCACCAGTCAATGAAATCCACAACAGTTAGTCTAGGCCACGTAGGAAGATGTAGACTTCCTGGTTGGGGTCCTCGGGACGGTAAAAACCAATGGTTGGAAACAATTGGTGACATGGCTCATAATCGTTCTCAGTGGCGCAGATGCATCCACTCCTTGTGACTTATGATTTGCAATTAAACTGTTTTGTTCTCCGTTATTACTATTCCTCACACCTCTGTTTATTGTCTATATTATGCATTTCTTCTACTTTCTTCTCTTGCTTTGTGTGGTACATGGAGTGTGGCGACTTGCACTGCCGCACATATGTGCAAAGTTCTATGTTGAAAACCGACCGACGTTAGGCGTAGAGTTTTGGGCAAAGAGGGAAAATCAATCGGAGAGGCTATATAGTTACATAGATTGAGATGGCTAGATCACGTGCTGCCCATGCCTAACCATCGCCTCCCCCGACGGGCATTACTAGCTGATATCGGTGCAAGTTGGAAAAGAGTAAGTGGTGGCCAAACAAAAACATGGCATCAATCCATGAAATCCTTGACAGTTAAACCGAGTCAGGTAGGGAGATGCAGACTTCCGGGTTGGGGCCCTCGGGACCCTGAGAATCAATGGCTGGAGACAATAGGTGACTTGGCTCAAAATTGTTGTCAATGGTGCAGATGTATTCAGTCTCTGTAATCTTTCATATTCCTCTCTACCATTAGTCATTCTGTTTTACTCTTATACTTGTCGAAACTCTATTGATTCTCTTCACTCATCTTCTTGTCTACTTTTTTCTGCTATTTGGAACGTGGCAACTCGAACTGCTGCACTTTGGTGTCAAGTTCTATGTTGAATTCAGACAGACAGAATATCAAATACAATGTTCAAATAGATATATTGTGTGCAGTATTGAACTGAGGGAATAACATTCTGACCCTAATATCAATTAGACTGTTTAAATAGATATATCGTATTCTATTGCTAATGCCGACGTGAACTGTGGGAATATGTGAGAATAATATTCCGTTGGAACACATTGTTTGTATCACACCACCACCACACCTTCATGGTCCTATCCTGACCGTGTTCTACAGTTTTTTTGCTGTTAGTGGACCTCTCGGAATCAACGAAACACATCTCTGCGGAGGAACAATAACCCTTCAAGAGTAATCACAAGAGCTAGATGGATATGCATTCACTGCATTACCGTCGCCAAAATGTGCACCACTTCTCAGCTTTTGTAGACTACAAACAAGCACTAAGGAGGAATTTCAGAGACCCTAAAAAATTAGAACTAAAAGTGGGTTGCGAAAAGAAATGGTATAAAAACATCGGGTGAGTTTATCTCTAGATGATACACCAATCAATATGAGTACAAGAAATCTAGAGGTAGTCGTCTCTAGCTTACCTGGCTAGGCAGCATCGTTTCAACAACAGGCGGCACGGATACGGATGTCAAAGCCAGCCGGGACGAGGTCAAAAAAAACAAGCATTCATTGCAGATTTCGAAGTGATGAATATCTTCCTCACCCTTCCGATCTTGGCTTCGACATCTTCATCCGCACCGCCTGTAGTTGAAACGATGCTGCATAGACTAGTGAAGGAGGTGACATCTTTCAGATTTACTACGATCATAGTGATTGGTGCTTGTTGTTGTTGTTGGTGGTTGGTTATCTTCATCACCTCGGTCTTTCCTAAGTTCACTCGAATTCCGGTTTCTGCTGTTTCTTCTTACAACTTGTTGGTTTTTTCCTGTAAGTCTCCGAGTTCGTGTGACGTTAAACATAAATCATTTACGAAATCCAGATCTTTTACAGTCTTCTTATCGGTCCGGCGTATTCTTGTCTTCTCACTCCCCACAGTCTGACAGTCCAGTCCAGTACAGTTAGGAATGTCATCGGTGGTAGTAAACAGTCTTCTCTTACTCCTGTCTTCACTCCGAAGGCTTCTCTGCGTTTTCCGTTATGGATCACTTGATATGTGGCGATTTAATTTTTCGCCTATTTCTTTTCACTTCAGATATCCAAAAGATAAGGAAATAGGTAGTGTTGACAGTTTTGAAATCTCGTTGCGCTGCTAGTTATTATTTAAAAAGTAGAAGCATCTTTTGTCAAAACGACTATTTTAAGCTTATCTTTAACTTTATCAAGTGATATGACTTTTGATTAGACGTTGTCTCTCTGTTGAGTTAATTGGTACAACCATTTAAATTACCTAAAATAGCAACAAGATATGAGCTCGGACACCTGATTTTCAACTAACAGACGATGGATAAGAACATTGGTCTACTTAGTAGTATTGTAGCAACAGATGACAAGGGCCAGGCAACAGATCGTTTATTAAGGAAAATCAACACATATTTATAGATTTTAATGTACATTATTGTAGATTATTGTTAGTAGAAAATACAGTCTTTTGATTGGTTGTTTCTCACAGAAAGTTAACCTTGCATCTCTTTGTGGCTGTGTCAGATCATCCATATGCTAACTGTATCCGCCTACGCAAAGCCTTTGTTCTCATTTTCTCACCACCAATATTGGGGACATAGACATTGACGTCAATTACTGTCTACCAACTTTGGCTAGCAACCAGCTCTCACCACAGTATAAGGATATCTAAATGTGTTTATCAGAGCACAAACTAGAGGCATACTCATAGATCAGTGTGCTGATTTGCACATACTCGGCAAGTTAATAGCGATCATCGACAGTTTTAGGGTCGCTTATCTATAAATCACCAAGAAGTTAAATTCAGTCAAAATGCTTTGAATACCTATTACGACTCATCTGAGCAACTAATGTGACAGAACTCTTAATAATAATAATAATTTACTTTATTCCAAAAACAGTACTTATAATACAGAATGGAATTCTCAGCATTTGTCACAATATTGCATCTGATTTACTCAAAGTGTATATAAAATTAAAAATTTAAAACAAAAATTAATCGGAGAAATTTGTCCACATTAACGACATAATTATTAGATATAGTAATAATAATAATAGTAATAATAATAATAAATACTAATAACAGTGAGTTTGTTTCAAACGGTATTGTCGATTCAGTTTGGAAACTTTAGCATGTTATAGATTATTGGGTCTAATGTTCTGTAGATATGGTATAGTGAGGTGAAATACAAAATTAACAGTCATAATACAGCTTAAAATTATGTTCACAGTTATGAAAAATAAAATAAACAAAACGAAAAAATTGAGAGGATTATAAATCAGAAATACAATAACAATAAAGTATGATGCTTTAAGGTTGAAGGAAATGGTCTATTTAGTGGAGCTAAGAAGGTTAGTTAGTTCATTTCTGACACTATTTTCATCACATAGAGTACGTGCTAAATATGGTATAGTGGAATTTTTATACTTAGACGTACGTGCATAAAGTCTTCTGAAAAGACTTCTTGTTTTACCTGAGGAGACACAAGGTTGGAGGTGAGGGTAAAGTGGGTGCTCAGAGTCTGACAAAATTCCTCTAGCGAATCTGTTGCATGACATCAAATGCCTATCGGTGACAATGCCAACGATATGGCCCAATGGGATACCACTAGACCTACTGACAGTCCTCAGAGTTCTACGGAGTATGACATAGTCCTTTTTTAGCAATCCAGTAAAGAATAAGGGTGAACAGTAAAGAAGAATAGGTAAAATACACGAGTTGACAAACTGTAAGAGGAGTGGTTGCGTTATGCCTGAGTGCCTTAACTTCTTAATGTAAAAAGTCAAACGAAATATTCTTTGAGAAATCGCTAAGACATGAGAAGACCAAGATAGGTCAGAAGAGAGAACTAATCCAAGATACTTAACTTCATACTTGCTTTCTATATCGTTATCATCGATTTTGCAAGGGTCATAGGAACCAACGGCTTCATTTAACTTTCGTTTACATCGGAAACTGAAATTAACAATCTGACATTTGGAAGGATTAAGTTTAAGGCCGTTAGACGAAGACCATTTGCTAATTTCTGATAGAAAGTTGTTAATCTTAATACAGTCAAGTTGAGAGTTAACAGACATTGAAATAGTTAGATCATCGGCATACTTAACAAAGTTCATTTCCTCGGAGTGAGGCAAGTCATGCAAGAAGAAAGAAAACAGAAAAGGAGAAAGAACAGCGCCTTGAGGGACACCAGCCTGAGTAAGCAATGAAGTGGACGACTTTCCCTGATATACAGTGTATTGCTTTCTTTCTGAGAAATAAGAATGGAGCCATTTGACAACCCAACAGTCAGTTTGAGTTTCAGCAAGCTTGTTTAGTAAAATGTCCCTAGGTACTGAGTCGAAAGCAGATGTATAATCTAGAAATGTGCAGCGAACAAATTTAGCCTCCTTGTCTAAGCTGGAGACAATGTTATGATGCAGGACTGCAGCTGCGTCCAAAGTTCTTCCACTATGTTTGTAGGCAAACTGTTTGGGATCATTAAAGGCTTTAAGTGAAGGCTGAAGATTAAGTAAGAGCAACTTTTCCATAGCTTTTAGAAAAGGGGAAGTAATAGCAATGGGTCTGAATTTAAAACATGTCGCAGTAGACGACTTAGGAATAGGTACAATTTTAATGTCCTTCCAAGCGGCTGGCACGACATTTTTGGAAAAAGAATCATTGAAAATGTCCATGAGAGGATAACACAGGATATCTGCACAATGTTTAAGAATAACACTAGGCAAACCATCTGGACCCAGGCTACAAGAAGGGTTCATAGACTAGAGACATTTTAGAACGTCATTTGTAGTAAATCCAGGAAAGCAGGTTTCATTAATACTTGTAACACTAGAAAGTTTGGCATTCGTGGGAGAATGTATGAAGGAATTGTTTAGTTTGGAAACATCAAGGGGAAAAAGAATACTGTTCATCTGCTTACCACCAGTAATTTCTTTGAAAAGTTTCCATATAGAAAGACGCATTTTTACAGGATATGAACTTTTGGTTGTAAATTGAATTCAATCTGTGCATTTTGGACTCTTGTGCTTAGTTGTGTTTTTAAACTAGTTGACTTATGTTTTCTACGTAAAAGATGTTTTAAACCAACTGGATAAGTATTAAGCTTTCCTCTATTTTCTTTATCTTGACAACAGTGTTTACGTTCATTTTCTTATGGAGTAGATATATGAGAAATACAAGATCTGCTGAAAATTGTACGCTTTTCGGTTGTGTTTTATTCCTCATTCATTTTGTTAACACTGACATTTTTCTTCCTTAAAGTTTATCGTGCTCTGTATGATCATGGATTGTGGCCGGTTCTAGACGGTGAACAGCGAACATCTGTAAGTCGTTCCAAAGGTGGATATAATAATATCAAGGCATATGACAACGCATGGCTTTCTGCCGATTTATCTTTGACTTCTGACTCCGGTGCTTGCTGGACAGGTGATTCAGGTGTAATTGTAAAAGGACTGAGACATCCTTTGATACCAGAGGAAACTGGTGGTGCTAACGGTTTTGTCAGTGATCACGCTCCCATATGGTTTGATATCCGTGTACAATAATGACAATTTGTACTTGAAGCAAATTCGTTTATTGCAAAACTTTAGAAAACGTAAATACATTTATATTACGTAACAAATGATATTTATTGCAACATGATAACAATTTGTAATTTAAATAAACTTGTCTGTTGCAAAACTGAAAAAATACATAATTGTGTATTATTTAATAAATGGCATTATTTTTGTCAACCGTCAAGATTCATTTTCAGGACCAAATACCTGTTCGCAATCAAATCAACAATTTCTTTTCCTCAAGTTATAACTGTCCTGGTTAATTTCGTGACCGTGTGTTCTTGGTGTTCTCCGCATATTTTTAACCTGAAAGAATGTTTTGCCGATCGAATTATTAATGAAACACTCAAAATAATGCCTACAGTTCTCTGTAGCGACCCAAATTACTATTCCTCACATTTGAACATTAAGCTAGCGTTAATAGTAAAATGAGGAAAACCTAAATAAAATTAAATGACTTTAAACACAACATAATAAAATGAGTCGAAAAATGTGCTACTACTACTACTATTTCTACTAATTGAGAGTTAAAATGCATTTATACTATCGTGTTATAACTTCGGATCTCCAACTTTTGGTTCAGATTATTTCTAATTCTTTAGTTAGGTATATTGCGAAGCTCAAGATGACATATAATAGATTGGTGTATTTTCTTAATTTGGCTGCCGTTAAGTATCTTCCAATCGTATCTTAATGATTGGCAGACAAGCATTGGTGATGCGACCAACATAAAATCTAAACATGGGTTTAGCAGTATAGTTTAATGGTAATCAATTTGTAGGTGCATAATTCGTGCAAATTTCTTCTGTAGACTGAACACGATTCACAACTGTTCCATCGTTCCGTTGACAGTTAATTACTGCAATTTTATGTTTGTACTGTGCTTAATTCTCTTTTCTGAGTGCCCTGAAAAACTGATTCTGTTCTATAAATCCAAACCTGTAATCATTTAAGATTATTATCTACATTAGTGCGTATTAGTAACTTAAATGTAGGTGATACAAGGCAAGTGAAACTTACTAGCTCAAGTGTCTGTAACTGGCTATTGTTAGGAGTGCTCATAAGAGATGGACTTATCTCCACCGTAGGTATGAGTTCATTTTCTTCATCTCTATCGTCTGAAGCTTTTCGATCAGCCTGTATCTTAGAATCAGAACCTTCATACTTAACGGATGTGCGTTGGTGGCACAGCGGTAGAATGCTCGCCAACCACGCAAGTGGTTCGGAGTTCGATCCCCGACCGACGCACTCCTTTACCTTGCTAAGCTAGAAATAAGACTGGTAAACAGGGAAGGTTGGGCATTAGGCTAGCAACCCCATCCTGTAAAAGTAAATACCACTGCTACCGAAACCTAAAAGATCTAGCTTGAAGCCCTATGTTCCACTGGGAACGTTCAGGAATGAAAAATATACCTAACGGATGCAAAGAAAACTCTACTACGCTTGCTCGCTTGACCTGGTTGCCTTAATATGCTGGTTGGTGTCGTGGCCGATGTTCCATTAATACTCTGAAGTAAAAGTTTAGGTCACACAACAACTATTCTTACCAGACCGTCTAGATTTAGAGAAGTGGCAGGTGATCTCGGAGTTACTTTCTCAAGAGTTTCTTCTGGTAACTGAGTACTGATGGGCGGAGAGTTCGAGTAAATCTGGTGCTGAAATCCTCGGTATTCCTGATATAAGTATAAAACTTAGGCACTGTGGTAGAGAATAACTCCACTATGGATAAGATTTCATTTTGATAAATTACACAGTGTTGTACAGTAATATTAACTGATGACGTTTCGTTATCAAAATAAAATTTTATCCATAATGGAGTTATCCTCGGTATTCCCTTTCAATAGCTCGAAGTTTCAGCCAGGATTGTTTCCTGCTTCGCATCTTTTTGTTTCATCCTCCTTATTTCCCCACGTATTCTTTCTTTTTCATCACATAACTCCTTCAATTCTCTTTCCTGAACAATGGTTTAGTAGCACAAAGTAATTCACTTACTTGTTCTGCTGTTTTCGCTTGTAGCTTTTTGATTTCCTGTTCTCTCACTGCTTGTTTCTTCAGAATCTCCTTCTATATTTCGGAAAAGTCTCATTTGGTGGTTAAAACTTCCAGAAAATAAATGAATTCTTACTGTGATAAACTGTGTAGTTATTGCTAGTGAATTCCATAATTTGTTTTCACTTTGTTATTTCTTCTAGAAAGTAAGAATTATCTGAAGAACTGTACTTTGCACTAAATCTGCATGTATGACTTTGATAAAAGCTGTGAATGGCCACTGTATATAATTTTGGTACTATTCAGATTTTCTTAAAAGTGGGCTTAGAAATTTATATTCTGAATCCTTCAGGTTTAGCAGTTGCGTATCGTCGCTATATCGTGCTTACTGTCATATGACTAGTTTTCTATTTCGAAAAATCATCTTTGTCGTGTCGCTATTCAGTAAAACTACACAGGCTGTGTATTGTTTCAAGTCATTCTGACCTGTTTCCTCTATGTTTCAAAATCTTTCTTGGCCATTTGAGTGGGAAGATCTTTAACAAGATCAGTACGGTATTCTAGCCCATTTGTCTGAAATGCCCACGGTGATAGTTTCTGGTAGATAATTAAATGAAGAAGTTCCCTTTTGGATATATTCTGTAACATGGTTTCATTTGGGTTTTATCTACCTATGAAAAATGATCCTGCAATTATTTGAAACTGTCTACCTGTCGTCTTGACTCTGCATTATCTTATTTCGTTCTTACTTTTGATGTTGTGTAGTGTGACTGTATGTAAATCTGATTCCTCATTGTCTTGCTGTCTTCTTTCTGTGAATCTGACGTCTAAGATATAACCATTAGGTCTCCTTTTACCTATTTACTCTGTCGACTTTATTTATTTTCAAACTTTACAAATACTTCTGCAATCACTATTCGTACTCTTACAAAAACTGTAAATTTCACGTGTGAACAGTACATTCGTTCACCGCTTCTTGTAGACACCTGTGTCTGAATAATGCCACCTAAGTTGGTATCTATGCTCTGAACTGCCCTGATATGATGTGTGAACAAGTTAATTTCTCGAAAAGAAATAGCTCCGACTGCTTAAAACAACTCAGTGTTCACCTGTCTTCACTTAAACGTTGTATTTAGGTGTATCTTTTAACTAGATGCAAATGCTATTTTGTGTCAACAATGTAAATGTATGCACAGCTACACTCCTACGATTAGTTAAAATTTAAATCCAGTTAGTTGAAAAAAATTTATAATTAATCTCGATGCTTGCAGGTCATTTTAATTTTTATATGACCTTTCTCTCAGTATGTTTTGCTACCTCGCATTCTATTGGAAATTTTTCGTTTGTCATTCTACACGTGTAGCTAAAATCAATAACACTGCTTAAAATTCAGTGTGTTTTTTATAGTCCAAAGTCTAATTATAATGTGATTGATCAGAAAAGGTAATTGAAAATTTATGGTCTCGTGCTTTTCAAATAAACTCATTTTTACACGAGACGATGTTTGACTCCTTGTTCTGTGGTACGTGTGCTAGAATTTTTCGTCTATGTGCTATCGATCAATTTATACAACATAAATCAGATGGCTGTTCAAGGCTGAGTTTTGGAAATGAGTTATTTTTGGAATGCTCTCATTGTGATGAATGTTACATTTCACCATTGGATCTTATTGCACATGTTGAATGCGCACATGGAATATCTATTATGAAGCATACATCAAGTATGGTCAACAACTCTAACAGTTTTCCACACGAAGTGATGTCTATCTCAGACACAACGAGTTCATCTTTTATAGTTGCTGATGACAAAAGTAGCTATAACTCTGCGAATTCAAATGACATAAACTCAGCTCCATGTGAGTCAGTGAGTCAAGTCCCATCTGTCTTAAGCTCTACCTCAACTGACTACACTTCAATCGCTCCGGGTATTTCTACTACTTCGGTTGTTCGTAAAACCTGTTGTCTTGTTGATGGAAGTTCTCCATGCACCCAAATGTCTTCGTGCCCAATTTTGTTTTCTCAAGAGTCGGATTGTGAAACGGAACAAGTATTCGATGATAACTCACTAAAGCCTCCAGATGATTCAAACCCAGATACCACCTCAGTTTGCAGTCAAATAAATTTATGTGCCCAGACAACCCCTGCTTCCAGTGAACGTAAGCCTTTATTAAATTTTGTTTGTGAATATTGTCAGAGGGAGTTCTCTCAAAAGGTTCACTTACAGAAACATATTATGTCAACTCATACCAAAAACAAACCATTCAAGTGTTCAGTTTGCTCGTATCAGACTGTGGAGAAAAGTCACCTGAAGACCCATTTCCGAAAACACACAGGAGAAAAACCATTTGCTTGTACTCTGTGCACTTACAGAGCAGCTCAACATTCTACATTAAAGCAACATTGTCTTAAGAAACATCACAATGCGTTTCTTTGTTGTAGAAATTGCAGTATCCGCTTTGTAACTCTAACGGAACTTGAAAACCATCAAAAGATATGTTTCCCTTAATTTGGCTTGTAAATAGCAGTTTGATTTAAATTTACTAAATAGACCTTTTTCCTTCATACAACAAACCGTTTTGAATTGATTATTTTTGTGTGAATATCAACTCATCAAAGGGGGAAAATCGATAGAAACCCAGTCTGAAAATACCTTATCTTGATTCAATTCCTTATTCTTCGGGGAAATATTGTGTTTTAATTAGAACCTATTGCCATTTTATTACTTTTTGTGCTCTTGATGATTTTTAGACCAATGATTTTCTTTAAATTGTCGACATCATCCTGTTTTTGCTTCAGTTCAAGGTTTTTTTGATTTAACTTCTCCATTAAAGACAATATCTCATTGATCATGTCATGAGTTGGTTTCTGTAACTGAACTTTCATAGTTTCTAGTCTTTGATTTTGCTCTTGAATGGATTTTCCTCTTAACTTTTGCTGTTGAACTTCTTGTTGTGAATATTCCAGTTGCATTGTGAGATTATTTATATGATGAGACAACTGTATTTCTTTCAAAATATCCTTCTCTTTTTTTTCAATGTACGAAATATTCCCATATTGAGTCATAAGAAAAAGGCACAAACAGCGAAGAAAATTTTCTTTTCGACGATTCATTTTCATGAGCTGTACAATCGTAATTATAATTAACAAAGAAATCTTTAGACCAATCAGTTGCTGG